CTTCAATGGGCATGGTGTATCCTGTACAACTTGACACAGGTCGAACATCGTTGAAAAGGCGACAGTAATTGGAAAAAGAACAACAATTGTCCAAAGGTGTTTTGTCTTCTTTAATCCATTGCAATTTAGCTTTTCTGGGGTCGTTGATAAAAAAACGACTATCAGTTTGTTTAAGTGCCATAGAAGCCTCATCATAACAGCAAACCTGTCAGCATATAAATTTAAATGCTCATATTTTCGTATAGTATGAATGCAATTAAACTTCCTTTACTTTATTCATATATCTATAAAACTTCGTATTGTTTTGTAGTAATATCAATAAAAGAGTTGATTGAGATTTAAAAACATTTAGTCCTACATGCATCTTAGCTTAAGTTGAAGGTTATTGCTGAATTAGAATGAAAAAAAAAATCTGTCTACATCTATGAGATGAGGTACTATGATTACTTATATTATTCGGACTGTTATACTCATCTTCATTGCCATATACACAAGGTTTCGGCCGTTGTACGCTCCGGCCTTCTTCAGGTGATTGGAATTTTTCTTCATTATTTGTTTATATCTCTGAGATGAGGTATTATGATTACTTACATTATTTACATTATTCGGACTGTTATCCTCATCTTTATTGCCATATTCACAACGTTTTGACCGTTGTACACTATGGCCTTTTTTCAGATGATTGAAATTTCGAACCGAATCCTTTATTTCGTACACCAGGATAGATTCTTCTAGTTCCACCTGCCAGGCTTTTTCCCAATGTCTTAGTTATTTCCCTTTAACACAACTCTCCAAGTTTTTTGGTTCACCACTGCCGTGACCTGATATTGAACTCATAACTCTTTGCGTCTAGTCACTGGATCTATCCAAAGCCTTTATTTACTGTATCATGTGTCCGTTGTGAATATGGCAATAAAGATAAAGATAACAGTCTGAATAATGTAAATAATGTAAGTAATCATAATACGTCATCTCAGAGATATAGACAAATAATGAAGAAAAATTCCAATGACCTGAAGAAGGCTGGAGCGTACAACGGCCGAAACCTTGTGAATATGGCAATGAAGATGAGGATAACAATCCGAATAATGTAAATAATGTAAGTAATCATAATACCTCATCTCAGAGATATAGATAAATAATGAAGAAAAATTCCGGTCACCTGACGAAGGCCGGAGCGTACAACGGCCGAAACCTTGTGAATATGGTAATAAAGATGAGGATAACAGTCCGAATAATGTAAATACGATATAAAAAATGTTATCATCATACTTTCTCATTACTACTAACAACGTTGCCTTATTAAAGATTTTTGGGAAGTCGTATGTGACACGTGTGTTAGATTTTACATTTCTTCTTATGTGCCTCGCTAGTGATAGACAATGTATTATGTATGTATCATCATAATGCAGTTATAGTAAACGAGGAACAAATATATGAAAATAAAAATACTTTAAGTTATTAGTAAGAAAAGTTTAACTTGCCAGAACGCCTTTGGATTTTCCATCGGCAGGAAATCTAGACCGAACACAGTAACTTGAATCTTGGTAGCGTTCAAATCGTGGATCCTTGAGAGCTTGCTTCAAGTTGCAAGGGCATGGAGAACTCAGTTTAGTTAGGGCAATTACTCTATTATGTTGGAATTCATAGTTATTATTGTACCATTCTAAGCAAGATTGCCCATAATTCTCCTTTTCTTTAATAACTCCGATATGAAACCGCCACAAACCATATATACCTTCGAAAATAAATAAAAAAAGTATCTTAAAATGTTATTTTCTTGCCACTGCTTCATTATTTGCTAAAACAATGGTGTAACAATTTCAAGATTTTTTTTTTAAGTAAATAGCCGATGCAAATAAAATGAAATGGAATCCTAATGGCTTACAATAATTTATGAAAAAAAACTTAATACTGAATAATAATTAGTATAAAAATTGATATATTTGTAAATTTATAGACATCACACATTCTTAGAAAGGCAATGATTTATTGATAGACATTCTGTGACATGAATTAATTCTCTTGAATGTTGAAATAATATTTTCTATTTATATAAATGGAAAAGATTTTAAGTAAAAAAAAATGCCTACAGTTAATGTTACTATTACATTTTTTAAAAAAAAACTAAATCCTATTTCATTGGCATTTTGTTAATATATAAAGGATATGCAAGAGAATGGAAAAAGGTAGACTTATTGTTGTGGCCTTGTTAGGGCCAGAAATAAAGACACAAGAGAGGAATTGAGTTAAACAAATACATTAACGGAAAAAAAAACAGTAATACAAACGAGAGTGTTACAGCAAGAATATTCGGTCCGACTATCACAGATAACTGCTGGAAACTACCCCCCTCTAAAAGGCAGTACCTGCTCTTATTTATATCTTTTGTTTAATTTTTTAGTCTTAATTTATTTGAACCTAATTTAATCATTAGTGTTATAGTGGAACACACCTATTCTATAGTTAATAGACTCTCCCACCTATAATAAGTAGGAGTAGTAAGAGTAACGAGTAAGTCGCTCAGTGAGTTGGTCAGTCAGTTGATGCCGGACGACCGTTAGTCGGATACTAAAAGTATCAGCGACCACCTCTAGATTTCTCTGCGTCATTACCTATTATATCAAGTTCATAACGTTTTGTACGTCAAACCTATTTTAGGACCGACTTAGTACAAATACAAGCCTCCACTGTGAAATTACTCCATAACAAACTTGGAGATACAAGCCTCCACTGTGAAATCACTCCATAACAATTAGAAAAGAAAGGAAAATAAAAGAAAAATAAAAGAAAAAGAAAAGTAATTATTTATAGCATAGGTAAATTACCATAACACTTATTTCTTCAAGGGATCGGGAAATGTTTAGTAAAACTTACCTGTGTTTCCTATTCTTCTGTCTATGTCGAGAATATCTTCATCTTTTCTGGAAGTCAATACATAATTGATATCGTTAATTCCTCTACGATATCCCATTAACACATAACGAGAAGGAAGATTGAATTTGTTCCAATTCATGGCGCCAGTCTTGTACAAGTACATCGCATACGATTCTGTACCATTTGTTACCAGAACAGCCTGAAATGTGTTTGTCTGCAAAGAATAATGGATCATTTGAATTATAAAGTGATATGTCCCGGAAAGGGATATATTTGTTCGAAGTAGCAAAGTAGTTTTGTACTACTGTAATCGAGTAGGACAATCTAGCAGGTAACCGCAATGGACTGGTACTCGTCGTAGTCGTAGGCAATAGGCGTAGACCATGTACCTCCACATCAGTCTGTATTTATGGCTGACACCAGCCAATCATATTACTGTGAGGGAGAATCCAGGTGTATGCATATTAATTACATCATAAAGGAACAACTGAATACACTCAATTTTCTACGTTTAATGCTACAAGAGTGTATGAAAATAGGAGAAACAATAACAATTTTCATGTTTTAATTTACATCGGTATTTGTACAGCCCAATCATTACTAAAAGCAGGTGAAATAATTTCTTTAATATAAATTCATTGCAAGTGCTAATATTTAATTGCAACACGTTTATCGGTTTTTATAATGATAGAATTTTACATCTCTACAATCTTTTGTCTCATAAAAACAGTTAAAACCCATGCCGGGAGCATTGTAGCGGACCTTGGGTTTACGTGTTGTTAAATTAGGAACACGTGCGTTTATTCCTGCTAGAAGAAGGTCCACTACAAGAACATGGCGGACTCAGAGATTGAAGAAGTGTAAAGAAAACCAACAAGATCGATATATATATATATATATATATATATATATATATATATATATATATATATATATATATATATATCAACAAATATACGTATTAAACAACAAAATTTACAATGGACATAGAGAATAACATTTGTGTTTGTGTGTGAACGTAAAGAGCATTGTGGTCAATGTTCGTACGTACGTGTATGTGTGTATAATGTTCATGGCGTCAAATGGGAAGACGCAATCTTTTGCGAGAGCTTACATTGTAGATGTGTTCGCTGAAAATGAAATGAAAAAAGAACGAGGCGAGAAATTGCCCAGTATTTATAGTGTATGGAGAGCGTCCCCTAGTGAACAATTTGGACAATTAAGGAGGAGTTAATTCTGAGAGCATCCACACTTTAATAAGAAAAAGTCTACCCTTAAAGAAAGCATTTTAGATTTCTTCCAATGACATATTTTAAATGTTATCTTGGTACAAATGAAAAGTTTTATTATATAAAATATTTATAAAAAGCTTAAAAGTTAATGCATAATATAAGTATTCTGGTAAACAATTTAAACTGAAACATGTATGCTATATATCGATAAAAAGTTTTATTAATCGACGCATCACTCGCTGTTGTTTTCATTCAGGACAGAATGTTATTATCCAAACTATTTATAATTTCCCATAAATAGATATTATTTCCTGTCGAACGACAAATTTACAGTGCTTTCCTTTGAGCAGAGGAACTTATATATTAATTTCACTTGAAGATATTTGTAAGCATTAAGCATATTTAAAAACAATGCCGGGAAATATAAGTCGAGAATTTTGATATGAAGAATTATTTTAGGATATTTTTTTTTATTCTGAGGAGATAACTAATTTTGGAAATGTCTTACATTCTGGTTTTGCCTGAATCGGCGGAAAATCGACAGAAAATCGACAGAAGGATAAAAAAAAAAGAGTAGAAATACGAGATAGAAAAGTGAGAAGAAGCTAACTCTGTGGACCGAGTAAAAAGTTCGGTTCTAAATTATAGAGAAGTTATCGATAAAGACAAACTTGAAAACCGGATGGAATGACGGTTGAAATGTTATGAATGTGATAACCGTGATGTGCATGTGAGTTCGAATAGAAAAACATTATAAAGTCTTCAAATGGCAGTACAATGTCTTTTATATATTGAAACATTCAATCCAGCTTCCTGACTTTATCTGCATTTATCTCATTCTATTACAACAGACTGGCTTTAAAAAGCGTGAATGTAAATTTACATTCTTCTAAAGCATTCACGTGTATCTATGAACAGCCTTAGCAAGAAAGAATGGACGAGAGAGTGCATCTACACATGCAAATAGTAAGGACTGGATAAAAGCGACAAAAATGGATAAATAATAAGCAATAATAAATCATAAAGTAGAAAAAAAAATTGTCTTTACCTCTGATAAATCTAAGATATCACCTGGTAGTACATTTCTCCATGTTACTATAAGTGCCCACGTTGCATTAAATCCTTGCACCCCTAACCGTTGGTTAATTTCCGTTAAAACTATTTCTTCACTTTTTTTTCTTTGTCGGTTTAAAGGCCACATTTCGTACACGTCATAGTAGACTGTACTATTTCGGCTCTTATTTCCGGCGTCCGTCGTTGCATCCGCCCAAAATGGTGCAATGATAACTGAATCTTCTTCTCCTATCTCCTTTTTTGGGAGTTCATTAATCTTGTAACCGTCAGGCTTGATGATAATGAAACCATCTGTGTGAACCTGAAAAAATTGAATATAACATTTTAAAATATTTCTCTTGAACGGTAAACAGTGTTTATCAAGATATACAATCTAACATTATCATAACCAAATGTCCTTGTAAGTATAAGTGGATCTACAACCACTGATTTGCTAAAGAAATTAGCATACCATGATGAAAAAAATGTCTCATACTTAAAAGTTTTATCGTCGAAATCCTTATATTATTATTAAGAGAAATGACCAAAGGATTTTTTGATTATTAAATTATATTTTGGATCCTTTTTAGAAAGTACGAAATTTTTGTTAAATTTTTTATTTTTTACGTCTGCGTGGTGACCAATTTTAGTCATTTTTGCGGTGAAAAACATATTGATTTGGAAATTCTTACAAAAATCAAATAATTACTGGATTTAAATGAAAATTTCAAAACTTATTCACAAATGAATAAAACCATTTTATAAATGTTTTTTTTAATTCTTGGTAAAAATATTTTTTGCTTCTTTTACCCCAACTTATTTAATTTTATGAAATTCCGGGAAATTAAATTTTGCAAAGATTAATGTTTATATTAGTTAAAAGCAGAAGTCCTTGGAGAATTTAAATCCTTAATTTCTTTTTGTAAAAAAGGGACCCAGCTACCGAAAATCTGCTCTGAATCATAAGATAAAAATATCTTAAAACTAAACCATTATTTAATTAGAAAAAGTCTTTAATTGCTTATATGAATAAGATACTACTGTCTGAAGAATAAACATTTTTTCGATGAATAATGAATTTTTACAAGAATTTTTGTTAATTTTAATTATATTAATTTATAAAGTTTTAAATCTGTTAAAATTTTATCTTACTTTGTATATGTTAGGTAATATTCTTATTAAGAAAAACTATATTATTTACATTATTGTCCTCATCTTTGTCGCCATATTTATCACAACGTTTCGACCCTTCAGTATCTGTCTATATTTCTGAGATAAGGTATTATGTACACTATTTACGTTATTCGGACTATTGTCCTCATCTTTGTTGCCATATTTATCACAACGTTTCGACCCTTCAGTATCTGACTATATTTCTGAGATGAGGTATTATGTACACTATTTACATTATTCTCCTCATCTTTGTCGCCATATTTATCACAACGTTTCGGCCGTTATACGCTCCGGCCTTCTTCAGGTGGTTGGAATTTCGAACTGAACCCTTTATTTCGCTCACTGGGGTAGACTGTTCTAGTTCCACGTGCCATGTTTGATGGATGTCAGTTATCAGTTATCTCTTGCTAATTTCCCTCTGAAAGTTCTCCACTGCCTTAACCAGGTATTGAACTCACACTCTTTGGGTCCTGTCACTGGATCTAACCAACGCCTTTATCCACTGTGTTATCTGTGTGTCCTTGAGGACAATAGTTCGAATAATGTAAATAATGTACATAATACCTCATTTCAGAAATATATACAGACTCTAAGAAAAACTATATTTATATATAATAATAAATGGAAAAGCTTACTTAGCAATTTAGCAACAACTAATACTTTTAAAAGAATTTTAAATTTTTTTATGTGTATAAACGTGCTGATGTTTGTAAATACGGACGTCCATACACGACATTATCAGAAAATAATAGCGATAATTATAGTAAATTTATAGCCAAATTACTTAAAATTCAATAAAGCATTAGATTACGGAGAATATTTTCCTAAATTTGAAAGATTACTGAGTAGTTTAAAAATAATATAAAAAAGGCGCTTCCGTTATACCCATGAACTAATTTTTACAGATGTGACCACCGTAGAAAAAAATAGATAAACCTCCGTCTGTCATTGAAGTTGTTAATACCTAAATTAAACAACTACTACTACAAAGATTAAATTATCGCAGAAATATATTTTTGATACAAAAATATATTTCTGCGATAATTTAATCTTAAATAATTTATATTTGCTTCAAATCAGATTAATTAAAATATAAATTAGCTAATGTTCCTCAAATAAATTTTCAGAAAAATATATTTTATTCTTGAAAGATATTTTAATAAAGAAAATTTTATTTTATTTTTTTAACGATATTTTAATAAGGAAAATTTCATTTTAATGAGAGATAGCTAAAATGGCGCTAAAATCAGCGATGGTTAGTCGATTTAAATTAGTTTTGAAAAACGGCAACGTATTCTGCTCATTGGAAATATTGAATTTAAAACTTTTTGAAATTAAACCTAAAATACAAGCCTCAATAAAGATTTTTCATTCTAAAAATCCCTATCTTATCGTTTCGTCTCACGAATCTGGAGGAACCTAAAATAAGTGTATGCAAAAATTGAAAATATGAGTATAAGACATTCTTTTAAAAAATGATATGTGTGTTATGAGTAATCAAGAGTGGTCTCCCCTTATTTTGTTACTCTCCTCTGTGAGAGAGATATTTCTGTTTACCGGGACTATAAAAGACACAATACGCGAACCTTGTATTCCTAGTTGAATAAATCTTTCTTAAAGCCTTAACCTGCGTACTTTTGTCATTACAATGTGCATATAATATTTCGAATAACATTCAATATCCATATTCACAGAGATGACTCCAAAAAAGATTGCTAAAAGATTAAGGAATCGTTGTTGGAAAATCAGTGTTTTCAAATACCAAAATTAATTGTATTTGAATGTGATTTGAGTGGGTTAATTATTGTTCGTTTTCACAAAAGCATAGCCTTTAATAGATTTCAGATAGACGAATAAATATTAACAAACAAATCATGATTTGCAAAGTTTCGTTACTAATTTAAGACTTACCCACATACGTTTCCAAACTGATGTTTTCGATATCATAGGAGGAAAACCAACTTGGCAAACGATTGCGTCACTCATTACGTCATCCCCTCGAGGTAAACGCTTAGAATATTCAGCCCCTGAATCCATTCCATACCTAAATAACACTATTCGAAAAAATAATACGAATTAAAAAGAATAAAATCATACATTAATACGAATTAAAAAGAATAAAAGCATACATTAATACGAATTAAAATCATACATTGATACGAATTAAAATCATACATTAATAAGAATTAAAATCATACATTAATACGAATTAAAATGAATAAGATCATACTTTTTTAAAAAGTTGAACAATGCAAGATTAAAAATGTGATTAATCTTTAGTTGTATTTCATCAGTGATAGCTTTAGTAGTTACAACTAATAGTCAGAAAATAGTTAACATCTCAAATCAATTATAGATATTTCAGTTTCGTACGAAGAAGTTTATGTAAAATAATGTCCCATACATAAAATAAGGATTGCAAATAAGCAAAATTATTAGTTATTCGATTTTAACGAAGAACACAGTTTTCTGTTACGTCAATTAAAAATTAAAAGCTAGTGGTATAAACAAGATTAAAATGAAAACAAATCTTCATCTTACTTAAATCCGGGATTTTGAGTGTCGTTTTGGGACTTGAGATGATTAATTTAGGTGTAGTCGTAATATTTGGTGTATGCCTGTTGCTACTGTACGAACTCACTGGGACGCTGGTTGTATTCTTTCGTGTGTTTTGAATTACTGTTGTTAGCTTTGGTGTATTAGCAGTTGCTTCTGATGTTGGTTTAGTTCTAATTTGCAGAGTTGTCGATGCCTTCTTTTGCGGTAATATTGATGTGAGCTTAGAATGGAAGATTTCTGTTGTATTGAAAAGCATTCTAGGTGACGTAATCAAAGTTGACTTAGTGGTGACTTTGCCTTGTGCATTCGATATTTTCTTGCTAGTTTTCATCATAGATGAGGTTATTGTATTTATAATATGACTCTTAGGTGTCGTAATTGTTTTTTTTAAGGGCTCATTTTTTAACTTTTTTTCTGAAATCGTTGTCTTGTATGGTGTCGCAGTTGTTTGTACTGAAATTGTTCGCAAATCTGTTGTCCCTTCAGCTTTACCTTTTTTTGTTGTAGTCAGATTTTCTACTGAAGGTGTAAATTGCTTAATGGTTAACATCGTTTTTGGCTGTGTTGTAGTGCCATTGAAGGCTAACGTAGAATTTGGAGATACTGTTTTGAAGCTTGAAATAGATTCTGGTTTAAATATTCTAGTTGGAATTGCAGTTGTTGCTGTCAAACCAGCTTCTGATATTTTGGTTGGAATTTTAGCTTCATCTAAATTTGTTGTGGGTATTTGTCCTAATGTTTCTTTTAGAGTATACTCTTGTAAAGTAGTAGATAAAACTGGATTAAGTGTAGACTTTGCAGTTTTTTCCAAAACTGTCGGCACTCCTTCCAAAGTTGATATCTCTGTAATGACAGGTCTTGCAGCTGAACTAGAAGTACTTTGTAATGTTTGTGTGACATTCACATGATGTTTTCCACTGTGATTTCTTAATGTTGATGCTGTTTGAGTTGATAATTTTGATAGATGAGTTGTTTGTGTTATTGGAGTGGTTCTTTTTGTTATTGTAGTTGTTGGAGAAATGTTTGTTGTAGTTTCAATGCTTGTTAATAGATTTTCATCTTCTTTAGTTTTCATTGTATTTTCTGTTGCTGATGGTGTCGACCTGCTTGCTATGATTTTTCTTTTTCTAGATACAAGCGGTTCACTTACCACGCTACTCAGATGTGAACTTAATTTAGTTGATGATTGTGGTACTGTGTAAGTTCTGGTTTGTACATTGGTGTATTGCCTACTTTCTTCATCTACTCGTGTTTCTATCGAAGAAGGTTTGGATACTAATGTCTTTTCAGTAGTCCCCAATAATTCTTTCGTAAATGGCATTTTTTCTATTTTTCCAGTTGTGGATATCTCTTTTATTATTCGAGTGACTTGCATATCACTTGTTTCAGGAATTGCTTTTAATGCTGTTGTCTCAGCAATTGTGGACACCTCAAGTGTAGGAAGCATTATTGGTGTCCGAGGTTCGTCAGGATTGACTGTTATCGGTAGCGCCTTTGTACTTGTAAAAATATCTCTTGTTAGAGTATCTAATCGAACTTTCTGAGTTGATAATTTACTTAGCTTGGTTGTAACATTTTTTAAAGATGATGTTACATTTATATCATCAGTAAAAGATGCTTCCGTTGTTGTTATTATAGGTGCTTTTGTTTTTGCTTTCGTGACTAATTTTTTTTTTCTGATTTTTGTTCTTGATATTTCAGGAAATTTAGTAGATTCGGTTGAAGTCAATTCCAAATTGGAAGAAGTAAGTAACTCTGATTTTTTAGTTGTCGTAATTTTAGTATTCTTTTCTGATTTTTCAGTTACAGTTTTCCTTATCATTTTTTCTGATGTAATAGTTGGCACAGTTTTTGTAACAATCTGTTTTCCTGTTGTCCAGCCATTTAATTTTGGCTCGTTTACCATTTCTGTATCAGTTAAAGTCTCCCCTGACGTTGTTTTGGACGCATCTCTAATAGTTACAACAGTTTTTCCAAAAGGGGTAAAAACTTCTGATACAGGTACATCGGTAATGACTTCTTTTGTTGTTTTTCTGGTGACTGGCATTTTCATAAATGTTTCTGCTGTCACTGTTATTAAATCGTCTTTGGTTTTAGATTCTTCAGTTATGCTACCCATCGATATTTTGGTAATGCCAGTAGTTGAAGAAGCATCACTAGCTGCTTCATCGGATTCAAGTGTGATTTGGTCAGTTATTGATGGTTTTCCCGTTGCCCTGGTAAATAGCTTCTTCGTATTTGTATTTATCGCGTCTTCAGTTGAATATTCTGTAGTTACCCAGCCTGAAGGAACATCAGTTATTGAATTGCTCGTCTTTAATTCAGATGTAGACCTGTCCGCTCTTTCCTGATTTGTTGACATATCTGTTAAAGCTAGAGTTGTTGGGATTCCTGGCACTGTTGTAATATCTGACTCTAATGTTGCTATTAAAGTTGCTAATGGTTCTTCCTTTTTTAGAGTTCCTTTCAATGTTGAGTCAGTCTCCACTGTAAAATTTGGCCTTTCAGTGGATATAATGTTTTTTCGTGTCGCCATTGTGAATACAGATGTTTGCATCTCTTTTTCTTCTGCAAATGTCGGTAAAATAGAGGAGAATTTGCTGGTGAGTGCTTCTGATATTTTGTTGGTAGGTGGTTCATCGTTTCTTATCGTGGATAAACTTGATACAGAATTCGTTTCTAAAGTGTCCATTTCTGATATAGTTACAGTTGGCTTTGTTTCAATGTCGCTAACATTCCTTGACGCAGTTACTATTTTTTCGCTTTTTTTCACCGTAGTTTGGAATGCAGGTGAAGATCGTACTAGCTTTTCTGTTATTGCTGAAGAAGTTGGAGAAGGCGATTTTGTTTCGATTTCAGTTACTGCAATTGAATTCCATAATGTATTCAAGAATTTAGATTCTTTTTCTGTATATGTCGGTGAGTGACTAGAAGCAGATGTTAGGTTTTCTTTAAAAGTTGTATTACTGACAGGGACTTTAGTAGAATCAGTATAATAGCTTACCATGTTTTTTGTAGTAAGCATCGGTGGAATTGTTGGTTGGCTTTCTATTGATGTAGATAGTTCTAATCCTTTTGTAGTTTCCGTTGGAATAGTGTTAGTAGGTATTTTGGAATTTTTTTCTTTGACTGGAATTTGTGAAGGAGGAGATGATAATTTTGTCACTATTTCTGAATGTGTCAATATAGTAGTGTGTAAAGAAGGTGTTTTGTTTTTAATAACTGGCATTTGAGTAGAACTAGGAGAGAAAATAGTTTTACTTTTAGGAGTAAACATCTCAGAAATTGTAACTTTAGGTTTTGTTTTTGTGTCAGTTGTATGCGTATAAATTTTATTTAATGGCGTTCTGCCTACAATTGTTGCAATAGTTATTGGAGAAGACCTTTCGGTTTTTAATGCTGTTTGTTCAGACGATGATTTTAAGGTTGAATCTTTTCTAGTTGTCTTTGCAATAGTTATTGTATTGACTGTTTGGTTTTCTATATCTGACATTTGTGTAGAAACAGTAGATATTACTTGTCTACCAGGATTTATGGTCGGAATAGATTTTGCTAGTGTATTTTCTGTACTTGGTAATTGTTTTACTGGTGTTTCTGTAGAAGTAGAAGCTAACGTTTGTCCATCAGGGATTGTGGTCGGAACAGACATTTGAGGTGTTATTTCGTTTTCTATGACTGATCTATGCGTAGAAGATAACACTTGACTATTATTAACACTCGTTGGAATAGAGATTTCAGGTGTGGTTTCATCCTTACTGACTGGTCTTTGTGTAGAATATAATGTTTGCTCTTCTGTAATTCTGGTTTCAACTGAGATTTCGGATGTTGTTTTCTTTTCTCGAAATGGTCGTTGTGTAGAAGTTAATGTTTCTCCTTTTGTAATTCTTGTTGCAACAGGGGTTTCAGGTGTTGCTTCCTTTTTTCGGAATTCGGTTTCACTGAATGGTCTTTGTGTAGAAGCTAATGTTTCTGCTTCTGTATTTCTCGATGCATCAGAGATTTCAGCCATTGTTTGTGTCTCTAGGAATGTCATTTTTGTAGAAACTAATATTTTTCCCTTTGTAATTCTGGTTGCAGCAGAGACTTCAGATGTTATTCCCTTTTCTTGGAATGGTGTTTGTGTAGAAGATAATGTTTTTGCTTCTGTAAATCTGGATGAAACTGACATTTCAGGTGTTGCTTCCTTTTGGGGGGATGGCTTTTCTGTAGAATATAGTGTTTGCCCGTCTGTAACTCTGATTGAAACAGATCTTTCAGATGTTGTTTGTTTTTCTTTGAATGGTATTTGTGTAGAGGGTAATGCTTCTCCTTCAGTAATACTGACGGTAAAAGGAATTTCAACTGTAGTTCTCCCTTCTATGAATGGTGTTTGTGTAGAAGCAAATGTTTCTTCATTTGTAAATCCCGTTTGAACAGATATTTCAGGTGTTGTTTCATTTTCACGGAATGGTGTTTGCCTAGAAGCTAATGTTTGTCCATGAGTAATCCTAGTTGCAGCGGATATTTCAGGTGTTGTCTCCTTTTTTTGGAATGGAGTTTGTGTTGAATATAATGTTTGTCCATCTGTAATTCTGGTTTTAATAGGGGTTTCAGTAATTGCTTTATTTGCTTGGTATGTTGTATGCTTAGAGGTTAATGTTTTTAAATCAGTAATTCTCGTTGCAGCAGGGATTTCAGTGATGGTTTCCTCTCGCCAGAATAGTGATTCTGTAGAAGCTAATGCTTCTCCATCTGTAATTGCAACAGAGACTTCAGGTTTTGTCTCCTTTTCCTGGAATGGTGTTTCTGTAGAAGATAATATTTCTCCATCTATAATTCCCGATGCAACAGAAAATTCAAGTGTTGATTCGTTTCTTTTGAATGATGTTTGTGTAGAAGGAAATGTTTCTCCATCTCTGTTCATTGGAACAGATCTTTCAGGTGTTGTTTCTCTTTTTTGGAATGGGGTTTGTTTAGAAGCTAATGCTTCCCCATTCGGAATTCTGGTTGTAACAGAGTTTTCAGGCGTTGTTTGCTTTTTTCGAAATTGTGTTTGTGTAGAGTATGCTGTTTGCCCATCTGTAATGTTGGTTGCAGCAGAGATTACTGTTGTTTCCTTTTCTCGGAATGGTGTTTGTATAGAAGGAAATGCTGCACCATCTGTAACTGCCGTTGGAACTGAGGTTTTATATGTTGTTCCGTTTTCGCTGACTGATGTCTGTGTAAAGGTAGGTGATAATGCTTGTTTATCAGATATTCCAGTTCGAATAGATATATCAGGCGATGTTGGGTTTTGTCTGACATGTGTTTGCGTATATGATTCTGTTTGTTTCTCTGTAATTATGCTTGGTACAGTCATTTCATGCGTTGTTTTGTTTGTTCTGAGTGATCTTTGTGTAGAATATAGTGTTTGCCTATCTGGATTTATTTCAATTGTTGCGTCGTTTTGGGTGACTTGCGTTTGTGTAGCAGATAATATGTGTCCATTTGTACTCCCAGTATTATTTTGTTTTGCTCTATATGTTGTTTTTGTAGGTAATAACGTGTGTACATCAGTAATTCTAGTGGAAATGAACATTTCAGTTGTTGTTTCCGTTGTTTTAACTGGTTTTTGTGCCGACGGTAATGTGCGTCCATCAGTGATTCTGGGTGTTTCAGGTGTTGAGGCGTTTCCTCTGATTGGTGATATCGTAGAAGTAGTAAATAATGTTTGTTCGTTTGTAATAATGGTAGGAACAGTGATTTCAGTTTTTGTTTCTTTTGATCTCACTGCTGTTTGTGTAGATGGTAATGTTTGTCGATCAGTAATTCTGGATAGAATTGACATTTCAGCTGTCGTTTCGGTTCCTCTAATTGTTGTCGGTGTAGAAGTTAACATCTCCCCACCTGAAATTTTTGTTCTAATAGAAATTCCCGGTGTTGTTTCGTTTTTGCTGACTGGTGTTTGTGTAGATGTTAATGTTTGGCCACCAGTAACTCTAGATAATATAGACGTTTTAGGTGTTGTTTCGCTTCCACTAATTGCTGTTGGTGTAGAACTTAAAATTTCTTTATCTGATATTCTTGTAATATAGATTCCCGGTGTTGTTTCGTTTTTGCTGACTGGTGTTTGTGTAGATGTTAATGTTTGGCCACCAGTAATTCTAGATAGAATAGACGTTTTAGGTGTTGTTGCGTTTTTTATAATTGCAGTTGGTGTAGAAGTTAACATTTCCATATCTGAAATTTTTGTTGTTTCGTTTTTGCTGACTAATGTCTGTTTAAAAGTAGAAGATAAGGCTTGTTCATCTGGAATTCTGGTCGGAATAGATATTTCTGGCGTTCGATCGTTTTTATTGATTGTTGTTTGGGTAGATGATAAAGTTTTTCCCTTTTTAATTCTGGTACGAATAGAGAATTCAGGTGTCATTAAGCCTTCTTTGACTGGTGGTTCTGTAGATGATACTGTTTGTTCACGTACAATTCTAGTAGGAATAGCAATTTCAGGTGTTGTATCGTTCTCCCAATCTGGTGCTGGTGTCGAAGCGAATATTTGTTTATCTGTAACACTAGAGATTTCTAGTGTTGTTTCGTTTTTGCTGATTAGTGTTTGCATGGTAGATAACATTTGTCGATCAACTATTTTGGTTGGAATAGACATTTCGCGTGTAGTTCCGTTTAATTTAACTGGTGCTTGTGAAGAAGCTAATGTTTGTCCATCAGAAATTCTGGTGGAAATGAACTTTTCAGTTGTTGCTTTGGTTTCTTTTACTGATGTTTGTAGTGAAGCTAATGTTTTTCCAGAAGTGTTTCTGGTTGGAATAATCATTTCAGGTGTTGTTGCGTTTCTTCTAATTGCAGTTGGTGTAAAAGTTACCATTTCCCTATCTGAAATTTTTGTTGTAATAGAGATTCCCGGTGTTGTTTCGTTTCTGCTGACTGATGCTTGTTTAAAAGTAGAAGATAATTCATCTGGAATTTCGGTTTGAATAGATATTTCAGGTGTTGTCTCATTTGTACTGACTGCTTTTTGTGTTGTTGATAAACTTTGTCGCTTTTTAATTCTGGTAGAAATATACAATTCAGGTGTTGTTAAGCGTTCTTTAACTGATGTTTGTGTAGATGATAATGTTTGTTCGCGTACAATTCTTGTTGAACTAGTCATTTCAGTTATTATACCGTTCTCTCTGACTTGTTTCTGTGTAGAAGGTAATATTTGTTCATTTGTAATTCTGTTTGGATCAGACATTTCAATTGTTGCCTCGTTTTCACTGACTGGTGTTGACGCGGTAGATAACGTGTGTCTATCAGTTATTGTGGTAAGAATAGACATTTCGGGTGTTGTTCCGGTTTCTCTAACTGGACCTTGGGTAGAAGATAATAATTTTCCAGCATTCATTCTGGTTGGAATAAACATTTTAGATACTGTTTCGTTTTGTTTGGCTGGTATTTCTGTTGAAGCTAATGTTTGCACATCTAAAATTCTTGTGGAAATAGGCATTTCTTTTGTTTCTTTTTTGCTAACCGGCACTTGTGTAGAGGCTGATGTTTGTTCATCTGTAATTCCGGGTGGAACAGACATTTCAAATGTTTTGTTTTCAATGACTGGTGTTTGTGTTACAGATGATGTTTGTCCATCTGTTTTGTTGGTGGGAATAGTTATTTCAGGTGTAATTTCGCTTCCTCTGACTGGCTCTTGTACAGATGCTAATGTGTGTTCATTAATAGTTCTTGTTGGAATAGATGTTTCAGCTTTGCTTTCGTTTTCGACGACCAGTGTCTGTGTAGTAGATAACATTTTTCCATCGGTCATTTGGGTGAGAATAGTAGGTGATGTTTCAGTTTGCACTGCTGGTGTTTGTGTCAAAGAGACAGTCAATATTGTATAACTTTTAATAGATGTTGGAACAGTTATGTTGAAGAGAGTTTGGTTTTTTATTAGTGGTATTTGTGTAGTACCCGATATATGTACATCTGGAACAGAGAGTGAAGGTTTTGTTTTGCTTTCTGTTATCTGCGTGGATAATGAGGGCTGTTCTGTAAAAATGGAGGAAATAGAGTGTGCAAGAATTGTTTTGTTTTCTGTTCCTGGTGTTTGCATAGAGGTTGCAGTTAATGTTGTTACACCAGTTGCTGGTACCACGGTTATGGTTGGAATAGAGTGTGCAAGAATTGTTTTGTTTTCTGTTCCTGGTGTTTGCATAGAGCTTGTTGTTAATGTTGTCCCACCAGTTACTGGTACCTCGGTTATGGTTGGAATAGACTCTGCAAGAATTTTTTTGTTTCCTGTTCCTGGTGTTTGCATAGAGCTTCCTGTTAATGATGTTTCACCAGTTGATGGTACCTCGGTTATGGTTGGAATAGAATGTGCGAGAATTGTTTTGTTTTCTGTTCCTGGTGTTTGCATAGAGGTTGCAGTTAATGTTGTTCCGTCAGTTGCTGGTACCTCGGTTATGGTTGGAATAGACTCTGCAAGAATTGTTTTGTTTTCTGTTCCTGGTGTTTGCATAGATGTTGCAGGTAATGTTGTTCCACCAGTTGCTGGTACCTCGGTTATGGTTTGAATAGACTGTGCAAGAATTGTTTTCTTTTCTCTAACTTGTTGTGTCATAGAGGTTGCAGTTAATGTTGTTCCACCAGTTGCTGGTGCCTCGGTTATGGTTGGAATAGACTGTGCAAGAATTGTTTTGTTTTCTGTTCCTTGTGTTTGCATAGAGGTTGCAGTTAATGTTGTTACACCAGTTGCTGGTACCTCGGTTATGGTTGGAATAGTCTGTGCACGAATTGTTTTGTTTTCTGTTCCTGGTGCTTCTATAGAGGTTGCCGTTAATGTTGTTCCACCAGTTGATGGTACCTCGGTTATGGTTGGAATAGACTGTGCAAGAATTGTTTTGTTTTCTGTTCCTTGTGCTTGCATAGAGGTTGCAGTTAATGTTGTTACACCAGTTGCTGGTATCTCGGTTATGCTTGGAATAGACTGTGCAAGAATTGTTTTGTTTTCTGTTCCTGGTGTTTGCATAGAGGTTGCAGTTAATGTTGTTCCACCAGTTGCTGGTACCTCGGTTATGGTTGGAATAGACTGTGCAAGAATTGTTTTGTTTTCTGCGCCTGGTGTTTGCATAGAGGTTGCAGTTAATGTTGTTCCACCAGTTGCCGGTGCCTCGGTTATGGTTGGAATAATCTGTGCACGAATTGTTTTGTTTTCTGTTCCTGGTGTGTGCATAGAGGTTGCAGTTAATGTTGTCCCACCAGTTGCCGGTGCCTCGGTAATGGTTGGAATAGACTGTGCAAAAATTGTTTTGTTTTCTCTTCCTTGTGTTTGCATAGAGGTTGCAGTTAATGTTGTTCCACCAGTTGCTGGTACCCCGATTATGGTTGGAATAGACTGTGCAAGAATTGTTTTGTTTTCTGTTCCTTGTGTTTGCATAGAGGTTGCAGTTAATGTTGTTCCACCAGTTGCTGGTACCTCGGTTATGGTTGGAATAGAGTGTGCAAGAATTGTTTTGTTTTCTGCGCCTGGTGTATGTATAGAGGTTGCAGTTAATGTTGTTCCACTGGTTGCTGGTACCTCGCTTACTGTTGCAATAGACCGTGCAAGAATTGTATTGTTTTCTGTTCCTGGTGTTTCCATAGAGCTTGCTGTTAATGTTGTTCCACCAAATGATGGTACCTCGCTTATGGTTGGAATAGACTGTGAAAGAAGTCTTTTGTTTTCTTCGCCTGGTGTTTGTATAGAGGTTGCAGTTAATGTTATTCCACTAGTTGGTGGTACTTCGGTTATGGTTTGAATAGAGTGTGCAAGAATTGTTTTGTTTTCTGTTCCTGGTGTTTGCATAGAGGTTGCAGTTAATGTTGTTCCACCTGTTGCCGGTGCCTCGGTTATGGTTGGAATAGACTGTGCAAGAATTGTTTTGTTTTCTGTTCTTTGTGCTTGCATAGAGGTTGCAGTTAATGTTGTTCCACCAGTTGCTGGTACCTCGGTTATGGTTGGAATAGACTGTGCAAGAATTGTTTTGTTTTCTTTTCCTGGTGTTTGCATAGAGGTTGCAGTTAATGTTGTTCCACCAGTTGCTGGTACCTCGGTTATGGTTGGAATAGAGTGTGCAAGAATTGTTTTGTTTTCTGCGCCTGGTGTATGTATAGAGGTTGCAGTTAATGTTGTTCCACCAGGTTCCGGTGCCTCGGTTATGGTTGGAATAGTCTGTGCAATAATTGTTTTGTATTCTGTTCCTGGTGTTTGCATAGAGGTTGCAGTTAATGTTGTTCCACCAGTTGCTGGTGCCTCGGTTATGGTTGGAATAATCTGTGCAAGAACTGTTTTGTTTTCTGTTCCTGGTGTTTGCATAGAGGTTGCAGTTTTTGTTTTTCTGTTCCTGGTGTTTGCATAGAGGTTTTGTTCCTTGTGCTTGCATAGAGGTTGCAGTTAATGTTGTTCCACCAGTTGCCGGTGCCTCGGTTATGGTTGGAATAGACTGTGCAAGAATTGTTTTGTTTTCTCTTCCTAGTTTTAGCATAGAGGTTGCAATTAATGTTGTTCCGCCAGTTGCTGGTACCCCGGTTATGGTTGGAATTGTATGTGCAAGAATTGTTTTGTTTTCTGTTCCTTGTGCTTGCATAGAGGTTGCAGTTAATGTTGTTCCACCAGTTGTTTTGGTGCCTCCGGTTATGGAATAGATTGTTGCAAGAATTGTTTTGTTTTCTGTTCCTTGTGTTTGCATAGAGGTTGCAGTTAATGTTGTTCCACCAGTTGCTGGTACCTCGGTTATGGTTGGAATAGACTGTGCAAGAATTGTTTTGTTTTCTGTTCCTTGTGTTTGCAAAGAGGTTGCAGTTAATGTTGTTCCACCAGTTGCCGGTGCCTCGGTTATGGTTGGAATAGATCTGCAAGAATTGTTTTGTTTTCTGTTCTTTGTGTTTGCATAGAGGTTGCAGTTAATGTTGTTCCACCAGTTTTGGTACCTCGGTTATGGTTGGAATAGACTGTGCAAGAATTGTTTTGTTTTCTGTTCCTGGTTTTTGTATAGAGGTTGCAGTTAATGTTGTTCCAGCAGTTGCCGGTACCTCGGTTATGGTTGGAATAGACTCTGCAAGAATTGTTTTGTTTTCTGTTCCTGGTGTTTGCATAGAGGTTGCAGTTAATGTTGTTCCACCAGTTGCCGGTGCCTCGGTTATGGTTGGAATAGACTGTGCAAGAATTGTTTTGTTTTCTGTTCCTTGTGTTTGCATAGAGGTTGCAGTTAATGTTGTTCCACCAGTTGCCGGTGCCTCGGTTATGGTTGGAATAGACTGTGCAAGAATTGTTTTGTTTTCTGTTCCTGGTGTTTGCATAGAGGTTGCAGTTAATGTTGTTCCACCAGTTGCCGGTGCCTCGGTTATGGTTGGAATAGACTGTGCAAGAATTGTTTTGTTTTCTGTTCCTGGTGTTTGCATAGAGGTTGCAGTTAATGTTGTTCCACCAGTTGCCGGTGCCTCGGTTATGGTTGGAATAGACTGCAAGAATTGTTTTGTTTTCTGTTCCTGGTGTTTGCATAGAGGTTGCAGTTAATGTTGTCCCACCAGTTGCCAGTGCCTCGGTTATGGTTGGAATAGACTCTGCAAGAATTGTTTTGTTTTCTGTTCCTGGTGTTTGCATAGAGGTTGCAGTTAATGTTGTTCCAGCAGTTGCCGGTGCCTCGGTTATGGTTGGAATAGACTGTGCAAGAATTGTTTTGTTTTCTGTTCCTGGTGTTTGCATAGAGGTTGCAGTTAATGTTGTCCCACCAGTTGCCGGTGCCTCGGTTCTGGTTGGAATAGACTGTGCAAGTATTGTTTTGTTTTCTGTTCCTGTTTGCAAGAGGTTGCAGTTAATGTTGTTCCACCAGTTCCTTGTTATTGTTTTGAATAGACTGCAAGAATAGTTTTTGTTTTCCAGTTTCCTCGGTTATGGTGTTTGCATAGAGTTTTGTTTTAATGTTGTTCCACCAGTTGCCGGTGCCTCGGTTATGGTTGGAATAGACTGTGCAAGAATTGTTTTGTTTTCTGTTCCTGGTGTTTGCATAGAGGTTGCAGTTAATGTTGTTCCACCAGTTGCTGGTGCCTCGGTTATGGTTGGAATAGACTGTGCAAGAATTGTTTTTGTTTTCTGTTCCTGGTGTTTGCATAGAGGTTGCAGTTAATGTTGTCCCACCAGTTGCCGGTGCCTCGGTTATGGTTGGAATAGACTGTGCAAGAATTGTTTTGTTTTCTGTTCCTGGTGTTTGCATAGAGGTTGCAGTTAATGTTGTTCCACCAGTTGCCGGTGCCTCGGTTATGGTTGGAATAGACTGTGCAAGAATTGTTTTGTTTTCTGTTCCTGGTGTTTGCATAGAGGTTGCAGTTAATGTTGTTCCACCAGTTGCCGGTGCCTCGGTTATGGTTGGAATAGACTCTGCAAGAATTGTTTTGTTTTCTGTTCCTTGTGTTTGCATAGAGGTTGCAGTTAATGTTGTTCCACCAGTTGCCGGTGCCTCGGTTATGGTTGGAATAGACTCTGCAAGAATTGTTTTGTTTTCTGTTCCTGGTGTTTGCATAGAGGTTGCAGTTAATGTTGTCCCACCAGTTGCCGGTGCCTCGGTTATGGTTGGAATAGACTGTGCAAGAATTGTTTTGTTTTCTGTTCCTTGTGTTTGCATAGAGGTTGCAGTTAATGTTGTTCCACCGGTTATGGTTGCCGGTGCCTCGGTTATGGTTGGAATAGACTCTGCAAGAATTGTTTTGTTTTCTGTTCTGGTGTTTGCATAGAGGTTGCAGTTAATGTTGTTCCACCAGTTGCCGGTGCCTCGGTTATGGTTGGAATAGAACTGTGTTTGCATAGAGGTTGTGTTGGTCCAAGAATTGTTTTGTTTTCTGTTCCTTGTGTTTTCTGCCTGGTGCTTATAGAGGTTGCAGTTAATGTTGTTCCACCAGTTGCCGGTGCCTCGGTTATGGTTGGAATAGACTGTGCAAGAATTGTTTTGTTTTCTGTTCCTGGTGTTTGCATAGAGGTTGCAGTTAATGTTGTTCCACCAGTTGCGGTGCCTCGGTTATGGTTGGAATAGACTGTGCAAGAATTGTTTTGTTTTCTGTTCTTTGTGCTTGCATAGAGGTTGCAGTTAATGGTGTTCCAGCAGTTGCCGGTGCATCGGTTATGTTTGGAATAGACTGTGCAAGAATTGTTTTGTTTTCTGTTCCTTGTGCTTGCATAGAGGTTGCAGTTAATGTTGTTCCACCAGTTGCTGGTACCTCGGTTATGGTTGGAATAGACTGTGCAAGAATTGTTTTGTTTTCTTTTCCTGGTGTTTGCATAGAGGTTGCAGTTAATGTTGTTCCACCAGTTGCTGGGTACCTCGGTTATGGTTGGAATAGACTGTGCAAGAATTGTTTTGTTTTCTGTTCCTTGTTGTGTTGTTCCATAGAGGTTGCAGTTAATTGTTGTTCCACCAGTTGCCGGTGCCTCGGTTATGGTTGGAATAGACTGTGCAAGAATTTTTTGTTTTCTGTTCCTGGTGTTTGCATAGAGGTTGCAGTTAATGTTGTTCCACCAGTTTCCGGTGACTCGGTTATGGTTGGAATAGACTGTGCAAGAATTGTTTTGTTTTCTGTTCCTGGTGTTTGTATAGATGTTGCAGTTAATGTTGTTCCACCAGTTGCCGGTGCCTCGGTTATGGTTGGAATAGACTGTGCAAGAATTGTTTTGTTTTCTGTTCCTTGTGTTTGCATAGAGGTTGCAGTTAATGTTGTTCCACCAGTTGCCGGTGCCTCGGTTATGGTTGGAAAAACTCTGCAAGAATTGTTTTGCAAGCATAGAGGTTGCAGTTAATGTTGTTCCACCAGTTGCCGGTGCCTCGGTTATGGTTGGAATAGACTGTGCAAGAATTGTTTTGTTTTCTGTTCCTGGTGTTTGCATAGAGGTTGCAGTTAATGTTGTACCACCAGTTGCCGGTGCCTCGGTTATGGTTGTAATAGACTGTGCAAGAATTGTTTTGTTTTCTGTTCCTGGTGTTTTTGCATAGAGGTTGCAGTTAATGTTGTTCCACCAGTTGCCAGTGCCTCGGTTATGGTTGGAACTCTGCAAGAAGACTGTTCCTTGTGCAAGAATTGTTTTGTTTTCGGTGTTCCTGGTGTTTGCATAGAGTTTTTGCAGTGTTTTAATGTTGTTCCACCAGTTGCCGGTACCTCGGTTATGGTTGGAATAGACTGTGCAAGAATTGTTTTGTTTTCTGTTCCTTGTGTTTGCATAGAGGTTGCAGTTAATGTTGTTCCAGCAGTTGCCGGTGCCTCGGTTATGTTTGGAATAGACTGTGCAAGTATTGTTTTGTTTTCTGTTCCTGGTGTTTGCATAGAGGTTGCAGTTAATGTTGTCCCACCAGTTGCCGGTGCCTCGGTTATGGTTGGAATAGACTGTGCAAGAATTGTTTTGTTTTCTGTTCCTTGTGTTTGCATAGAGGTTGCAGTTAATGTTTAAGTTGCTGGTACCTCGGTTATGGTTGAATAGACTGTGCAAGAATTGTTTTGTTTTTTCTGTGTTTGCATAGAGGTTGCAGTTAATGTTGTTCCACCAGTTGCCGGGTGCCTCGGTTATGGTTGGAAGACTGTGCAAGAATTGTTTTGTTTTCTGTTCCTTGTGTTTGCATAGAGGTTGCAGTTAATGTTGTTCCACCAGTTGCCGGTGCCTCGGTTATGGTTGGAATAGACTGTGCAAGAATTGTTTTGTTTTCTGTTCCTGGTGTTTGCATAGAGGTTGCAGTTAATGTTGTTCCACCAGTTCCCGGTGCCTCGGTTATGGTTGGAATAGACTGTGCAAGAATTGTTTTGTTTTCTGTTCCTGGTGTTTGCATAGAGGTTGCAGTTAATGTTGTTCCACCAGTTGCCGGTGCCTCGGTTATGGTTGAATAGTCTGTGCAAGAATTGTTTTGTTTTCTGTTCCTGGTGTTTGCATAGAGGTTGTGTTTGTTGTTCCACCAGTTGCCGGTGCCTCGGTTATGGTTGGAATAGACTGTGCAAGAATTGTTTTGTTTTCTGTTCCTGGTGTTTGCATAGAGGTTGCAGTTAATGTTGTTCCACCAGTTGCCGGTGCCTCGGTTATGGTTGGAATAGACTGTGCAAGAATTGTTTTTTTTCTGTTCCTTGTGTTTGCAGAGGTTGCAGTTAATGTTGTTCCACCAGTTGCCGGTGCCTCGGTTATGGTTGGAAAAGACTGCAAGAATTGTTTTGTTTTCTGTTCCTTGTGTTTGCATAGAGGTTGCACGTTGTTCCACCAGTTGCCGGTGCCTCGGTTATGGTTGGAATAGACTGTGCAAGAATTGTTTTGTTTTCTGTTCCTGGTGTTTGCATAGAGGTTGCAGTTAATGTTGTTCCACCAGTTGCCGGTGCCTCGGTTATGGTTGGAATAGACTGTGCAAGAATTGTTTTTGTTTTCTGTTCCTTGTGTTTGCATAGAGGTTGCAGTTAATGTTGTTCCACCAGTTGCCGGTGCCTCGGTTATGGTTGAATAGACTGTTTGAAAGAATTGTTTTGTTTTCTGTTCCTGGTGTTTGCATAGAGGTTGCAGTTAATGTTGTTCCACCAGTTGCCGGTGCCTCGGTTATGGTTGAATAGACTGTGCAAGAATTGTTTTGTTTTCTGTTCCTTGTGTTTGCATAGAGGTTGCAGTTAATGTTGTTCCACCAGTTGCTGGTACCTCGGTTATGGTTGGAATAGACTGTGCAAGAATTGTTTTGTTTTCTGTTCCTTGTGTTTGCATAGAGGTTGCAGTTAATGTTGTTCCACCAGTTGCCGGTGTTTTTTTCGGTTATGGTTAGAACCAGCCGGTGCCTCGGTTATGGTGAATAAGAATTGTTTTGTTTTCTGTTCCTGGTGTTTGCATAGAGGTTGCAGTTAATGTTGTTCCACCAGTTGCCGGTGCCTCGGTTATGGTTGGAATAGACTGTTCAAGAATTGTTTTGTTTTCTGTTCCTGGTGTTTGCATAGAGGTTGCAGTTAATGTTGTTCCACCAGTTGCCGGTGCCTCGGTTATGGTTGGAATAGACTGTGCAAGAATTGTTTTTGTTTTCTGTTCCTGGTGTTTGCATAGAGGTTGCAGTTAATGTTGGTTATGGTTGGAACAGACTGTGCAAGAATTGTTTGTTTTCTGTTCCTTGTGTTTTGCATAGAGGTTGCAGTTAATGTTGTTCCACCAGTTGCCGGTGCCTCGGTTATGGTTTGGAATAGACTGTGCAAAATTGTTTTGTTTTCTGTTCCTGGTGTTTGCATAGAGGTTGCAGTTAATGTTGTTCCACCAGTTGCCGGTGCCTCGGTTATGGTTTGGAATAGACTGTGCAAGAATTGTTTTGTTTTCTGTTCCTGGTGTTTGCAAGAGGTTGCAGTTAATGTTGTTCCACCAGTTCCTCGGTTATGGTTGGAATAGACTGTGCAAAAATTGTTTTGTTTTCTGTTCCTGGTGTTTGCATGAGGTTGCAGTTAATGTTGTTCCACCAGTTGCCGGTGCCTCGGTTATGGTTGGAATAGACTGTGCAAGAATTTTTTTGTTTTCTGTTCCTGGTGTTTTGCATAGAGGTTGCAGTTAATGTTGTTCCACCAGTTGCCGGTGCCTCGGTTATGGTTGGAATAGACTGTGCAAGAATTGTTTTGTTTTCTGTTCCTGGTGTTTGCATACAGAGGTTGCAGTTAATGTTGTTCCACCAGTTGCCGGTGCCTCGGTTATGGTTGGAATAGACTGTGCAAGAATTGTTTTGTTTTCTGTTCCTGGTGTTTGCATAGAGGGTTGCAGTTAATGTTGTTCCACCAGTTGCCGGTGCCTCGGTTATGGTTGGAATAGACTGTGCAAATGTTTTGTTTTCTGTTCCTTGTGTTTGCATACAGTTTGCAGTTAATGAGTTGCCGGTGCCTCGGTTATGGTTGGAATAGAATTGTTTTTGTTTTCTGTTCCTGGTGTTTTGCATAGAGGTTTTTGTTTTTCTGTCGGTTATGGTGAATAGACTGCATAGAGTTTTCTGTTCCTGGTGTTGCATAGATGTTGCCGGTTGTTCCCAGTTGCGGTTGCCTCGGTATGGTTGGAATAGACTGTGCAAGAATTGTTTTGTTTTCTGTTCCTGGTGTTTGCATAGAGGTTGCAGTTAATGTTGTTCCACCAGTTGCCGGTGCCTCGGTCATGGTTGGAATAGACTGTGCAAGAATTGTTTTGTTTTCTGTTCCTGGTGTTTGCATAGAGGTTGCAGTTAATGTTGTTCCACCAGTTGCCGGTGCCTCGGTTATGGTTGGAACAGACTGCAAGAATTTTTTTGTTTTCTGTTCCTGGTGTTTGCATAAGGTTGCAGTTAATGTTGTTCCACCAGTTGTTGTGCCTCTGTTATGGTTGGAATAGACTGTTCAAGATTGTTTTTGTTTTCTGTTTTGTGTTTGCATAGAGGTTGCAGTTAATGTTGTTCCAACCAGTTGCCGGTGCCTCGGTTATGGTTGGAACAGACTGTGCAAGAGTTGTTTTGTTTTCTGTTCCTGGTGTTTGCATAGAGGTTGCAGTTAATGTTGTTCCACCAGTTGCCAGTGGTGCGGTTATGGTGGAATACTGTGGTTTGTTTCTGTTCCTTGTGTTTGCATGGGGAGTTTGCAGTTAATGTTGTTCAAGTTGCCGGTGCCTGTTTTGTTTTCTCAAGAACGGTTTTGTTTTGTTCCTGGTGTTTGCATAGAGGTTGCAGTTAATGTTGTTCCACCAGTTGCCGGTGCCTCGGTTATGGTTGGAATAGACTGTGCAAGAATTGTTTTGTTTTCTGTTCCTGGTGTTTGCATAGAGGTTGGTAAAGTTAACCGTTGTTCCCTTTTATGGTTGCCGGTGCCTCGGTTATGGTTGGAATAGACCTGTCGGCAAGAATTGTTTTGTTTTCTGTTCCTTGTGTTTGCATAGAGGTTGCAGTTAATGTTGTTCCACCAGTTGCCGGTGCCTCGGTTATGGTTGGAATAGACTGTGCAAGATGTTGTTTTGTTTTCTGTTCCTGGTGTTTGCATAGAGGTTGCAGTTAATGTTGTTCCACCAGTTGCCGGTGCCTCGGTTATGGTTGGAATAGACTGTGCAAGAATTGTTTTGTTTTCTGTTCCTGGTGTTTGCATAGAGGTTGCAGTTAATGTTGTTCCACCAGTTGCCGGTGCCTCGGTTATGGTTGGAATAGACTGTGCAAGAGTTGTTTTGTTTTCTGCTCCTGGTGTTTGCATAGAGGTTGCAGTTAATGTTGTTCCACCAGTTGCCGGTGCCTCGGTCATGGTTGGAATAGACTGTGCAAGAATTGTTTTGTTTTCTCTTCCTGGTGTTTGCATAGAGGTTGCAGTTAATGTTGTTCCACCAGTTGCCGGTGCCTCGGTTATGGTTGGAATAGTCTGTTCAAGAATTGTTTTGTTTTCTGTTTCCTGGTGTTTGCATAGAGGTTGCAGTTAATGTTGTTCCACCAGTTGCCGGTGCCTCGGTTATGGTTGGAATAGACTGTGCAAGAATTCTTTTTTGTTTTCTGTTCCTGGTGTTTGCATAGAGGTTGCAGTTAATGTTGTTCCACCAGTTGCCGGTGCCTCGGTTATGGTTGGAATAGACTGTGCAAGAATTGTTTTGTTTTCTGTTCCTGGTGTTTGCATAGAGGTTGCAGTTAATGTTGTTCCACCAGTTGCCGGTGCCTCGGTTATGGTTGGAATAGACTGTGCAAGAATTTTTGTTTTCTGTTCCTGGTGTTTGCATAGAGGTTGCAGTTAATGTTGTTCCACCAGTTGCCGGTGCCTCGGTTATGGTTGGAATAGACTGTGCAAGAATTGTTTTGTTTTCTGTTCCTGGTGTTTGCATAGTTGTTGCAGTTGTTGTTCCACCAGTTGCCGGTGCCTCGGTTATGGTTGGAATAGACTGTGCAAAAGAATTTTTGTTTTCTCTTTCCTGGTGTTTGCATAGAGGTTGCAGTTAATGTTGTTCCACCAGTTGCCGGTGCCTCGGTTATGGTTGGAATAGACTGTGCAAGAATTGTTTTGTTTTCTGTTCCTGGTGTTTGCATAGAGGTTGCAGTTAATGTTGTTCCACCAGTTGCCGGTGCCTCGGTTATGGTTGGAATAGACTGTGCAAGAATTGTTTTGTTTTCTGTTCCTGGTGTTTGCATAGAGGTTGCAGTTAATGTTGTTCCACCAGTTGCCGGTGCCTCGGTTATGGTTGGAATAGTCTGTTCAAGAATTTTTTTGTTTTCTGTTCCTTGTGTTTGCATAGAGGTTGCAGTTAATGTTGTTCCACCAGTTGCCGGTACCTCGGTTATGGTTGGAATAGACTGTGCAAGAATTGTTTTGTTTTCTGTTCCCTGGTGTTTGCATAGAGGTTGCAGTTAATGTTGTTCCACCAGTTGCCGGTGCCTCGGTTATGGTTGGAATAGACTGTGCAAGAATTGTTTTGGTTCCTGGTGTTTGCATAGAGGTTGCAGTTAATGTTGTTCCACCAGTTGCCGGTGCCTCGGTTATGGTTGGAATAGACTGTGCAAGAATTGTTTTGTTTTCTCTTCCTGGTGTTTGCATAGAGGTTGCAGTTAATGTTGTTCCACCAGTTGCCGGTGCCTCGGTTATGGTTGGAATAGACTGTGCAAGAATTGTTTTGTTTTCTGTTCCTTGTGTTTGCATAGAGGTTGCAGTTAATGTTGTTCCACCAGTTGCCGGTGCCTCGGTTATGGTTGGAATAGACTGTGCAAGAATTGTTTTGTTTTCTGTTCCTGGTGTTTGCATAGAGGTTGCCACGTTGTTCCACCAGTTGCCGGTGCCCTCGGTTATGGTTGAAATAGACTGTGCAAGAATTGTTTTGTTTTCTCTTCCTGGTGTTTGCATAGAGGTTGCAGTTAATGTTGTTCCACCAGTTGCCGGTGCCTCGGTTATGGTTGGAATAGACTGTGCAAGAATTGTTTTGTTTTCTGTTCCTTGTGTTTGCATAGAGGTTGCAGTTAATGTTGTTCCACCAGTTGCCGGTGCCTCGGTTATGGTTGGAATAGACTGTGCAAGAATTTTTTTTGTTTTCTGTTCCTTGTGTTTGCATAGAGGTTGCGTTAATGTTGTCCCACCCAGTTGCCGGTGCCTCGGTTATGGTTGGAATAGACTGTGCAAGAATTGTTTTGTTTTCTGTTCCTGGTGTTTGCATAGAGGTTGCAGTTAATGTTGTTCCACCAGTTGCCGGTGCCTCGGTTATGGTTGGAATAGACTGTGCAAGAATTGTTTTGTTTTCTGTTCCTGGTGTTTGCATAGAGGTTGCAGTTAATGTTGTTCCACCAGTTGCCGGTGCCTCGGTTATGGTTGGAATAGACTCTGCAAGAATTGTTTTGTTTTCTGTTCCTGGTGTTTTGCATAGAGGTTGCAGTTAATGTTGAACCAGTTGCCGGTGCCTCGGTTATGGTTGGAATAGACTCTGCAAGAATTGTTTTGTTTTCTGTTCCTGGTGTTTTGCATAGAGGTTGCAGTTAATGTTGTTCCACCAGTTGCCGGTGCCTCGGTTATGGTTGGAATAGACTGTGCAAGAATTGTTTTGTTTTCTGTTCCTTGTGTTTGCATAGAGGTTGCAGTTAATGTTGTCCCACCAGTTGCCGGTGCCTCGGTTATGGTTGGAATAGACTGTGCAAGAATTGTTTTGTTTTCTCTTCCTGGTGTTTGCATAGAGGTTAGAGGTTGCAGTTGTTAATGTTGACTTCAAAATTGTTTTTGTTTTCTGTTTCCTTGGTGTTTGCAGTTAATGTTGTTCCACCAGTTCGGTGCCTCGGTTATGGTTGGAATAGACGGAATTGTTTTGTTTCTCTTCCTGGTGTTTGCATAGAGAGGTTGTTGTTAATGTTGTTCCAGTTGCCGGTGTCGGTTATGGTTGGAATAGACTGTGAAAAGAATTGTTTTGTTTTCTGTTCCTTGTGTTTGCATAGAGGTTGCAGTTAATGTTGTTGTTCCACCAGTTGCCGGTGCCTTGGTTATGGTTGCATAATAGACTGTGCAACCAGTTGTTTTGTTTTCTGCGCCCTTTTGTTTTTGCATAGAGGTTGCAGTTAATGTTGTTCCACCAGTTGCCGGTGCCTCGGTTATGGTTGGAATAGACTGTGCAAGAATTGTTTTGTTTTCTGTTCCTGGTGTTTGCACAGAGGTTGCAGTTAATGTTGTTCCACCAGTTGCTGGTACCTCGGTTATGGTTGGAATAGACTGTGCAAGAATTGTTTTGTTTTCTGTTCCTTGTGTTTGCATAGAGGTTGTTGTCCCACCAGTTGCGGTGCCCTGGTTAGTTAATGTTGTTCCACCAGTTGCTGGTGCCTCGGTTATGGTTGGAATAGACTGTGCAAGAATTGTTTTGTTTTTTGTTCCTGGTGTTTGCATAGAGGTTGCAGTTAATGTTGTTCCACCAGTTGCCGGTGCCTCGGTTATGGTTGGAATAGACTGTGCAAGAATTTTTTGTTTTCTCTTCCTTGTTTGCATGTTTTACGTTGAGGTTGCCGGTGCCTCGGTTATGGTTGAATAGACCACAAGTATTGTTTTTTTTTGTTCCCTTGTGTTTTGCCGTTAATGTTGTCCACCAGTTGCCGGTGGTTATGGTTGGAATAGACTGTGCAAGAATTGTTTTGTTTTCTCTTCCTGGTGTTTGCATAGAGGTTGCAGTTAATGTTGTTCCACCAGTTGCCGGTGCCTCGGTTATGGTTGGAATAGACTGTGCAAGAATTGTTTTGTTTTCTGTTCCTGGTGTTTGCATAGAGGTTGCAGTTAATGTTGTTCCACCAGTTGCCGGTGCCTCGGTTATGGTTGGAATAGACTGTGCAAGAATTGTTTTTGTTTTCTGTTCCTGGTGTTTGCATAGAGGTTGCAGTTAATGTTGTTCCACCAGTTGCCGGTGCCTCGGTTATGGTTGGAATAGACTGTGCAAGATTTTTGTTTTGTTTTCTGTTCCTGGTGTTTGCATAGAGGTTGCAGTTAATGTTGTTCCACCAGTTGCCGGTGCCTCGGTTATGGTTGGAATAGATTGTTTTCAAAGAATTGCAGTTTTTGTTTTCTGTTCCTGGTGTTTGCATAGAGGTTGCAGTTAATGTTTGTTCCACCAGTTGCCGGTGCCTCGGGTTATGGTTGGAATAGACTGTGCAAGAATTGTTTTGTTTTCTGTTCCTTGTGGTTATGGTAGAGGTTGCAGTTAATGTTGTTCCACCAGTTGCCGGTGCCTACCGGTTATGGTTGGAATAGACTGTGCAAGAATTGTTTTGTTTTCCTGGTGTTTGCATAGAGGTTGCAGTTAATGTTGTTCCACCAGTTGCCGGTGCCTCGGTTATGGTTGGAATAGACTCTGCAAGAATTGTTTTGTTTTTCTGTTCCTTGTGTTTGCATAGAGGTTGCAGTTAATGTTGTTCCACCAGTTGCCGGTGCCTGCCGGTTCGGGTTGGAATAGACTGTGCAAGAATTGTTTTGTTTTCTGTTCCTGGTGTTTGCATAGAGTGTTTGCAGTTAATGTTGTTCCACCAGTTGCCGGTGCCTCGGTTATGGTTGGAATAGACTGTGCAAGAATTGTTTTTTTTTCTGTTCCTGGTGTTTGCATAGGTTGCAGTTAATGTTGTTGTCCCACCAGTTGCCGGTGCCCTCGGTTATGGTTGGAATAGTGCAAGAATTGTTTTGTTTTTCTGTTCCTTGTGTTTGCATAGAGGTTGCAGTTAATGTTGTTCCACCAGTTGCCGGTGCCTCGGTTATGGTTAGAATAGACTGTGCAAGAATTGTTTTGTTTTCTGTTCCTGGTGTTTGCATAGAGGTTGCAGTTAATGTTGTTCCACCAGTTGCCGGTGCCTCGGTTATGGTTGGAATAGACTGTGCAAGAATTGTTTGTTTTCTCTTCCCTGGTGTTTGCATAGAGGTTGCAGTTAATGTTGTTCCACCAGTTGCCGGTGCCTCGGTTATGGTTGGAATAGACTGTGCAAGACTTGTTTTGTTTTCTGTTCCTGGTGTTTGCATAGAGGTTGCAGTTAATGTTGTTCCACCAGTTGCCGGTGCCTCGGTTATGGTTGGAATAGACTGTGCAAGAATTGTTTTGTTTTCTGTTCCTGGTGTTTTGCATAGAGGTTGCAGTTAATGTTGTTCCACCAGTTGCCGGTGCCTCGGTTATGGTTGGAATAGACTGTGCAAGAATTGTTTTGTTTTCTGTTCCTGGTGTTTGCATAGAGGTTGCAGTTAATGTTGTTCCACCAGTTGCCGGTGCCCTCGGTTATGGTTGGAATAGACTGTGCAAGAATTGTTTTGTTTTCTGTTCCTGGTGT